TCACACCACTCTGTGGCATACTGAAGCCTTGAGTCCCCATGACTGCATCCTGCCTGAATTCTAATTGCAAGGCAAGGTGGTCTGGGTGTTCCTTGCATCCTAGAACCCTCATGGAATACACTACAGTCTTCTCTGTCTGCATTCCTGACTCTCCTTTCAAAGGAGTCCAGGGCAAGGAGGAAGGTTGTGCACATCTGGAACTCAGAATTCCATATAATCCAACTGAATAACTGATGTAGTGCTTGAGAGTTTTCCACTGAAACATTTGTCTGGTACTTTATCCTTTTTTTTTTTTTTCATTTCCTGAGAAATTCTCTTGAAGCATATTGCCTCATCAGAAAAGAAACATGGAGATTTATTAACAACCGAAGAGGGTTGTACATATCCTGCTCATTTGCTTTGAGGTTTCTCTGCCTTTTGCTGGTTTTGTTTATCTAACAGACTTCTGTGAGATGCCAAGCCCTTACAGGTCACACATTTGTACCAGCCATCCAGCTAATGAGAGCATTTTGGGTGTGATTGTATTGGATCACAGCTGCCACTCAGACTGCAGAAATATCACTTTGACAAACTTGATGTGTGGCCTGGAGTAGCTGGTACAATATTGTGGTGCACTTTATGGATTTGATTGTTTCAGCATTCATGGCAGTAATTTTCAATCACTTTGATTATGATTATTTTCACGCTCATGACGCTAATTTTTCTCAGCATCCTCTGTAAAACATGTCAGGGTAGCGATTCCGAGGTTCTAAATGTGACCATTTCTATAAGAGAGAGCAGCTCTTAGGATGTCAGTTGTGCTGTTGTGATTTCCCTCAGGGATGTGGACAGCCCGTGGACTTAGGGGTTATCTGAGAGGAATAGTTGTTGAGATCTTTGTTCTTTGTGTCCAGCTGTGAGTGTGTCCCTGCTCCCTTGTGTCCTGTTCATGCTGAGCAGTGCTGTGATCTCGGGATGGATCCACTGAGTACCAGCAGTGCCCCTCGAGGAGAACAGAACACTGTGGGGGCAGAGTCATCAGGCCTGCAGAAGTTAATCAATCAGCATTACAATGTACCTGGAGAACTGCCCTTATTACACAGTTCTCTCTCTATTAGACATTTCTGCCTGACTTTTTTTTTTTTTTAAATGCAGAATGCTCTTGTTTGAGGAGCTGTTAGTTTGCTGGAGATGCTGATGTGGATGAATGGCTGACTCTGAGGTGGTGGTCGTGAATTTAATAGTTACATATGGAGATTTGTGCTCTGTTAACTTTTACATCCTCGTTGGGAATGACTGGGGATGTTTCAGACTGGGGTTATATATGAAGATTTTAATCTGTGTCATAAATTCACCATCACGATGCAGCTACTGGAATAACTGTGGGAGGGAGAAGGCAGGATGGAATGAGGGAGAACACGTTGAAGAGTTGCCTGTGAGGTGCTTGCAGCTTCTACTGCTGTTCTCGGCTGATGTCCATTTTAATGACTGTGTTAGGGGATAAAGTATTTCCCAGAGTGAATAAAGCAGGTATAATCTAATCCTTGAAAGTTTTCTCATGTCTGATTTTCAATTATGATACCAGATGTATAAGGCTGGAGCAGTGGTTGGCGTTAATCAGCGTAGCTCTGTTAATTACAGACCAAATGGAATTTTAGTTTAACTTAGCACCACACTTTGCACAAAGGAGTGAATCCAGCTGTGAGATAAGTCAAATTCTACCATACAATAGGGATGCTGTTTCTCCAGTCTAAGCAAAAAATAAAAATGAAAAAAAAAGCTAATATTCAGCAGTAGTTGAACACAATGGCCTGGACTGTGAAGATATTGTGCCTTTCATTAGTCTGTGTTAATATGTATGCAGAAATCAATCAACTTAAACATGATTTACTGTTGTTTTTAGAAAAAGCAGTTAAAAGTCTCCTTTCTTCTGGTAAGTAATGTAAATGAGCAGAATATTAAATCCTACACTATATCCATTAGGAAGTCAAGCAGTTAAACAAGTATGAGTGGTTTAATTCTCAGAGGAGTTTAAAAGCTTTTCCATTATGTTATTAACTACACATTAGCAAAGAATAATACTTAATGAAAAAAGCCTTCAATGTCCCAAAATACACAAATCTGTGTAACAGAAAAGTGTTGGCATGGCTTCCAAACAATATTGAGCGAGAGCTGCATTGCAAAATTAATACAGGACCCGATTAATGGAACAGTCAAAAGGTATGAGATCTTTTATGTATGACATGAGGTCAGCACGGTAGAAGGGGCAGCTAATTGTGATCAAATCATGCCAGGTAACTTCAGGAATGCTCTGGGGGGGGGTGGGGGTGGTGTTGGGTGGGTTTTGTTGTTATTTGGGGTTTTTGTTTGTGGGCTTGTTTTGGTTTGGTTTTATTTTATTTTTTTTTCTGACAATCTCCCGTTGAAAAGTTATTATTTAGTTTTGTGCTCCTACAAGTGGCGTAGCCATCACCACGGAGCCTTTCTGCCCCTCATTCATTAGTCTTAATCCTCCATTGTATATCCTCCATCCACTTCTCCTCTCCACCTACTTCCCACTCTAATTGCTGACAAACTGGTGTTTCATATTAAAAACACCATCCCGGTGTAGAAATGTTGAATGTACTCCCACACGTGGGCTATTTTTTTTTTTTCTTGCAGAATTAGGGCATGAAAAAGGATAATGAATGTTAAGCAAAGTTAAAAACAGATTTAGAGAGAATTAAAAGACAGAAATGTAAGATTAGGTTGAACTCACACTTAGGGGGATTAAGAGACTTTCATTTGTCCTTTGATCTCATTTGTGTTGCTGTAAAGATCTTTAGGGTCAATGCCATGGGGGATTATCACTGTTCTGAATTATTGTTGGGATTTGCAGTAATGGATTACACGCAGGAAAAATGGTCTACCATGGAAATTGTGAGGATACCTTACTCATTCCAGCCCCCCATTTTAAACTGGGGCTACTACAAATCCCAGCAAGTGCTCTCCACTTGATTAGCCAGAAGGAGAAACCACCACACTGCGTGAACAGAGGGAATTGCTTCCTGCCTGGCTGACGTGGGGGGGGAGAGCCATGAGAAGTTACCTGGTCTCACTGCACTTGGATAGAGTGCAATTTATAGAAGTGACTTCTAGGCACACAAGACGACTGAGGACAGATAGAAGTCATCTTTTTCAGTCTCCTTCTACCTTTATGATGATTTCCTTCCCTTTCTTTTTTTTTTTTTTTTTGGAAGATATTCTGCCAAAAGTTGCCTCATCTTTTGTGTATGCAATCTTGCCTCATCTTGCCTGTGTATGCAATACATAGTACTAATTATGTAGCCTTTGCCTCCTTTTTATGATTGTATTCCCACATATTCCCACCTCTTTTCTTTTTTTTTTTTTTTTTTAAATAATAGCTCAGTGCTATTTAATGCTATACATTTCACATTTTGAGGCCACGGAGCCATAAATTTACATCCCTGGCAGGACCAACTTGCCCTTCATCTTTCAGAGGTAGAGAAATTGAATTCCATGCAGTTTAGTGAGCAAGTCATTTGGATGAGACCTTATTAAGCTAAGGTCCTGCTGGTTTTGTGTAGATATTACAGATTCCATAGCACTTTCCATCAAGGTGGAGGTGTGCTTTAGAGCCCTCAGCCAAATATTCACTCCTTGTCACACAGTGCCATGTCAAATGACTACTCTCCTTTCCCCCCAAAAGTGGTGTAATTTATAATGCCTGAATAATGATGTGGGTTTCTTTTAGAAGAAAGCTCTTATAACTCTATCCTGCCTGCAAAGGCCTGCTGACCTGCCTAATTTTACTCATTGCCAGCACTCCCAAAGTGAGTAGTCTCACCAATAACCAGATGAAAAACTCATGTTCTCTCTGAAACATTGCAAGGAATTAAAATTGGGAGCAGCTGCAGTATCAATACATAACTGAACTGCAGTGAAATGTGCACTGACTGGAGGAAAACTGCTTGGGAGTATTCCTGTGATCCTGTAAGTACAGGGGGAAACAGCAGGAGCTAAAATGAATAAGCGAAACCAAAGGTGAGATCAGATTGAGAGGCTGAGTGCTGGAAACTGGGAGCAGCCACACTCAGTGGGATCACTGGACAAGAGCCAAGGTTTGTGTTTCTGGTGGCAGGATCAGGATGACTCAGTACAGTGTAGCCTCACAGAATTCATAGGTTTTAATTATTTATATTTTTTTTTAAAGAAGAGGGTGGGATAGACCATATAAAAAAAATAGACACTTATATCTCAAATGGTCAGATAGTACCTGTGCGTGGGAACAGGGACCAACCCCAGAGTGTTGCTTTCTCCACAGAAAAGCTGAAATAGGATATTCTCTGAACAGCTGGTTGGGACTTTGAGACTTGTTCTTTGAATTAAGCAGGTGTAATGTCTGCTGATCATCTCATGAGTCAACAGGAGTAAAGGAGCTCTGCAACTCATCGTGGGTGCTCAGCACATTTGGGGAAAGGCAGCGAATTTCTGATCAGTTTAATATAAATAACAACAACTGGAGTAAAACACACAAATTTGATGTTCTCTGTTTTTAATGCAAGTGAAAATGTATTTCATATATGAGTCATAAAGGGACAGGGAGGACTAAAATTGTGAGGTTTTGCAGTAAGCAATCAATTTTTGTTCTTCATGTTTATTAAAATGTATACTTATTTTTAAATATGCCATTAAAAGTTTTATAAAATAAACTATATCCTATAGAGACCAGTGCTTTAGCACTTGCTCACAATTAATGTCATGGAAGTCAATATTTTGTCACAAGGACACAGTAAATGCAGTGTATTTCTCAAACATTCCCAGAGGAATGCTGGTGCAGGGAGATAATTATTCTCTGCTCTTCCTTCCCCATTGTTTCTAGGAGGTTGTATTTGCACTCAGTGACAATCCCAGGCATAGGTTGATTCAGATGAGCTTGTATCCTGCATATCTAGATTCCAAATTCTCCAGGCAGTTTAGAGATTGGTGGGGGGTATATGTGGTTTTTTATTCCTTTACAGATACTCACAGGCCAGATCCCACTGTAGCTGAGCTACTGTCACTGAAATCACCGAATCCCGTTCCCTCTGTAAGGAACACCCCTGGGAATTATCCATGGTAAGATCAGTCTGCTTTCTCATTCTTCCAGGTAATTCTAAATATCCATGTTTTCTTTAGTAAAAGACTCTGGCTGAAAATAATTAAAATTCCCGCCTCATCCATGTACTATTTAAAATAATTTTGATTTAAAAGCAGCAACTGATTTAATCCTACTGGATTTTCTGTCATGTTCTCTTCCCAACCCCCCTGCAAGGACAAGCAGTGAGTGTGCAAGTCAGTCCCTGTCTCTGAACAGCCCTCTGCCTAATAATGATTGCAGTCTATAAAATTCATATCACAAGGAAATGCACAGAACAGATAGGCATAATCCAGCTTTGAAAGGAGCTGGAAAGTTCCCAGATAATATGGAATTTTTGTGGGCACCAACTTTGTCAGGTTAATATTTTGAAGTCTCTCAGGGAGTCAGGAGCTAATTAGACAATGTGCTGAGAAAATGCTGATCCCCTGTCTTAGCATTCTCTGACCCCATCTCTTGCTGAATTACTCAAAGCATTAAAGAGCTGATAGGCTGACATGTGATTTCTTCTTTTCTTCAAACATTTGAATTAAGAAGAAGTACATGGACAATTAATTTGCCTGGATACCCTTCAGTCTGGGTCATTACTGGAGACTGGAGATTTCAGCTTTCTGCTTCAAGGTCCCTCCCTGCTGTCCTACAAGAATGTAGCTGCGAGTTGAAACACTGAAAATGTCTAAACTGCAGCAAAATGTGAATTTAAGGGTGGTGGCAGGGTATGAACTGCAAGCCTTCTGAATATTACAGGCCTTCAGATGTGCTCAGGGGTTGGCCAACACCAGTTCAGCTGTCAGCACAATGGGAATTGGATCTATTTGTGTTTTCTTTCCTGTTGAATTGAAGGAGTAGCTTGTATCTGTTACCTTGCAGTTGTCCATTATATATATATAAGGGCAAAATGGATTGAAAAAGTACTAAACCGACTCAGAGGACAAATGTAATGGTTCTTGGTCTTTATAAATGGAGGTCACAGACTATCAAAGTCAAGGAAAAAATACCTCATGGTAACATCACATACTTGCACTGCAGGGCAGTATAGTACAAGCTTTCTTTGATCTTACCAGCATCAAATTCCATTGTATTTCCATTTTGTGTTTCAACACCAGCCCTTCATAACAAACCAAACCAGGAAAGAACTGTTTGTTCCTAACTCCAGCCTGCTCAGGGATTTCTTTAACTAAGAGTAACTTCTGCAGTTACCACATGTTGATGTGCTGCTGCCTCTAAGTCGGTTTTGGGGGATGTCTTGGAATCTCAGCCTCAAGCTGCATAATTTATTGCTTATATTCTGTTTGCTAAAAAAAACAAATCAGGCAGGTGAATGGACAGTTGAGAGACACTTGGGGAGCTGGGAATTGCCAGCCTTTGTATTTTAGTATCTTTAGGTGCTGCAAAGCAAATGGAACTGTGTGGGAGTAGAGAATCAGTGGCCCATCTAATCCATTATCCATGGTCCATCTGTCCTTTATTCTAAAGAAGACACAAGAAGTGTTTCCCACAGAATCTGTTGTTGGCAGTGACTGTGTGTGTGTTCCCATATCCTCCCTCTGTTCACGTGTTCAATGTGTATTTGCTCCTTCTTACCACTGTTTGCTATAAAACACACAGTTATAAAAGAAGAGTTCCACTCACAAGAGCTGTAAGTTGCAGTCATAATTCAAACTGTCCCTGCTAAGGAAGATGAAGTACTTTCCTTTTTCATAAAAATTTTCGACTATTTTTGCTTTTTTTGTCAAGTGCTTCTTTTTGTCATGAAATCCCTATAATTGCTACTTGCTCTCATTGCTGGATTGTTTTTCTTTTCCAATAGGAACAGTAGAAACTTTAATTGGTTTCACCTTCTGGAGGGAGTGACACTTTTCTCCCTCCTTTAAGAGATGTATTTGTCAATTAAACAATTTTGAATATTTTTTTGGGAAGCAGCTCCCAGCTGCTGTTTATTGTGCAAATGCAGCAAGTTATCTTAGGCATTGGAGTGTCAGGGTATTCCCTTTTTTTTATTTTTCATTCTATTTTCAAAGAAACTCAGCTCTGTGTGGAAGCTGTAAGTCTGCCCATGTGAAAATGGGCTGTATAGTCCCTGGGAAGATTTTTGGAGGGTCAGATCATCCCATTCCATAAAGAAAGAAAATAGAAATAAGAAATAGAAATAGAAAGATGTAAGAAACCTTGTCTGTGTGTTTTGCCTGGGTCAGACTGTAAGTGTTTGCAGGTTGGTATGATATTCTCTTCTCTTCCTGGATGTTCCTGAACCAGCCCAAGTGAGGTAACCAGGGAAGAATTCAGCTCTCCCTGCTCACAGGCAAGTAAGAAGTAGTTCCAAGTTGTATTTCTGGTTCCTTCAGGGGGAGCTCTTCTGTTCTTGCTAGAAAAAATATGAAAAGACTTCTCCATTTTGCCCTTGTTTCCACTTTGCTAGAGAGACCTCCTTCTGTTAATAAACATGGATGTCCTTGACTTTATGATCACTCAACACTCTAAAACTTGGACCATGCACTTCAAAATACTCGAAAAGAGACTCTCAAAGAAGCCTCATTAAAGTAAGGATAAGGCCAATGGCCTGGAAAGACGAATAAAAATGTGTCCAATTAATAATCAAAACAGTGCTGGTTTTATGGTTTCCCTGCAGTTTATCATGGGAATGTCTCCTGTTCAGCACTGCATTTATCTACATTAATAACACTGTCTGCTGCAAGCTAACTTTGCCTCTTGGTTCCAGATTATTCATCTTTATGTTTTGATCAAAAGCACAGAATATTGGATCCTATTGTATTTCAGCTATTCCATCTCTCACGCTCCTTGTTTCCTTTTCCTCCCACAAGTTGTGCACATCCATCTAGAAGCGAAATTGTTTCGTACCACAAATAAAATTATAAGTCCCTGAGGGTTTCAGCTTCTGTTGCACTCGCAATTGTTCACCCTTTCCAGTCTGTGAGCAATCATCATTTAACACGGAACTCAAGTCAGATTTCCTAAAGAGGAAAAAAATAAAAGGAGCTTGATGACAGAATGTGTTTTCCTGTAAATCACACAGATGGAGCAAGACACAGTGATTGCAATGCAGGGCTGACACTGTTTTACACCGTGCAGTCATCTAATATTGGTTGCCATAAACACTATAAATCAGCGCTCAGTGTAACTGTGCAGTGCAGTTTAAAACACCACACTCTGAACCTGATGCAAGATGCCAGCAATAAAACATTTCCCTCTACCTCAGTCACTTGTTTACAGCTTGTTTGCTGGCTTCCTAAACTTTCCAATGGTTCACACTTGACACCAATTGCTGTGGCAAAGGGAGCACAAATGAGTGAAGGAGACTTCCCGGCCGTTGAACTTGGGCAAACAGCTCCTGGCAGGCCGTGAGTGAAGCAGATTGTTTTTGCTTTTTAAGGTATTTTCAATATAATTTTTATTTTTTCCATTGCATCCTAGAAATAATATTAAGAGAGTTAGTGTTTGGATGACTGGCATTAGAAATTCACGTGGCTTAAAGCTGAAATCACAGACTTCTCATGGCTCCCAGTGTTCCTCTGTCATTTTTTAGAAGCTGGGTATGCCTCTCACCTGCAGTGCCTAGGAGCAAATGGATGCCTTTGGGTTTTACAGGGTTTAGAGCAACATTTAGGAGTTTTGACCTTCATAAAAAAATTTTACCTGGGCCTCTCATTTGTCATCAGTGTTTGGCTTGAGAGAGCTGTTTGTTGTGTGTGAATCCTCTACATTGTTACCTGTGTGAACGGATTTGGCCGTGCCCCATTCCTGATCTGGATGTTTTCAACCAATGTTTCCTTCACAGCAAACTGCTGTGGAGGATAAAAAACAGTTTGAGGATGATGACAGCTCTCTGAAAGATAAGATAAGCAGCAGTGAGAGTTCTGAAATCCAAGATCTGATATACTTGAGGAAAAGGCTGAATAAAAGTGTGTGTGCCCGCTGTCTTCCCTTGGCTTCTAGGCTTTGATTCTCTCTAAGTTCTAAGCAAGAATAGTTCTGTGGTGATCTGTGCTGTGAAGATCCTGTCTTACATTCTGAGCCCCAGATCTTTGTTGCCACTGTGAGTATCCTCCTGGAGAAATGGTAACATTGAGAGAGATCCCGTCATTCAGGTGCTTCCTTACGCTGAATTAAAAGCCATGGAGAATTTGTGGTTGTCAGCGTGTCCTGCGAAGGTACCAGATATTTGAGCTGTAGTGGAGAAACAGCAGATTTCACCTGTGACCACATTTCTTTTACCTTCCAAATACCTGTGGCTGCCTGGCCATACAACACATGCACAAAGCAGCACTTAAGAGTCTTGTGGGGCTGGAGAGACAAAACAGTGGGAACTCCCATGAGCTTGTTCCCTGCTCCACTGGGTCACTATCAAGTCTTCCCCTCAGTTCATTGGGTTTAGGGTCAGGCCCCAAACCCACAGTTTAGGTCTGCACTGCCTGTAATTACAGAACACACAGCAGTTAATAAAATGGCAGATTAGGCACAACAATCTCCTTTTAAAAATTTCTCTCCCTTTTTGTTGTCCCTCATCACAGATTAGCAGCAACTGCTAAGCAGTGGGTTTTTTGTGGGCTGCTGTTGTGTTTTGTCAGCAGTTATTTTTCAAGTGTTCTTTTAAAAAAAAAAAAAAGATTTTTTTCTGTTTTCCAAGTCTCTTTTTTCCTAAAGCTGGGCAAAACTCTTTTCAAGTGCCTTGTGGCTCCTTAGATTCAAACTCTGAGACACACTCAGAGAGGAGACTGTTTCAGGATAAAAATAGGATCTTTCCATGGGGGTCTGTCCTTAAAACACTTAGAGTTGTTGCCAGGAGAATTCATTTCATTGCAATTACTTTACCTTTCTCTTTGGTATTAAAATCTCTTTCTTCTCCTGTCCTCACATGAAAGCAGAGAGGTAGGGTAGCTGTGAGAGCTAAAGAAAAAATTAGCTCTAAATACAGCAACTATTAGTGACACATTCTAGAATTATGGCAACAAAATAAAGCTGCTCAGAGTCCACTTCTTGTCACCTGCTACTGGAAACCTCTCTGTGACCTGATATCAGGGACTGTATTATCTTATTAAACATCACAGCTAAAGCAGAGAAGGGGTGAAGATGTGTACTTTCAGGGTGAGTTTTAATTCTTGGTATGGGATGAAAAGAAGGCATTTCAAAATCAATAATTTACAAAGATAACTTTAGCCTTTACAATCATTAAAAGCTAAATTAGAAAGAAATAATTAAAAAGCTAAATTAGAAAGATGGGTTAACATTTGTAGAATTCTCTTAAAGCTGTACCAAAATTCCTTCCTGGTCCTCAGCCCTAGTGAGGACTCAGATCTGTAGTTCCAGGGTTTGTGCCATGCCTGGCATTCATCACTAGCATAAGTTATTGTGGTGAAAATAGTTACTGTGACTTGTCTTTTCTCCTAAATGCAACTTAATACAAGTGAAACACTGCTTTTAAAGGAAGGTTGCAGCAGAAATTACATGATATGACATTCTTGAGCCTTGCAAATAAATGCTTTGGTTTGCCTTAAGTATAATATAAAAATTAACTTAGGAGAAAATCCTAAGTAAATTAACTGCAGCATGATTTATTGCTCTTAAATTCATGAAAGTTGATTCAAATAGCTGAGAGTTTGTGGTGCCAAGTGGAAGTGGTGGAAAACAACATATCCTGGCTCTCCAAATTATTCTCTTTGGGGCTGGATGTCTATTTAAGGTGCTGTTATTCGAGGTTTTTGCTCATTGCTGTAAAACAGATGAGAAATTTCCAAAGCCCTTCTGTGTCCCAAAGCAGAAGACCAGCACTTCTAAGACATATTTCCAATTTGATTATGCTTTGATTAACCACGTCTTTGATCCTTGTAGGATTTACAGGTATGAGTATTTTGGGATTCCCATTAGGTTATCAAAACAAAATCCATGACAGTCTATGGAGATAGCAAGACAATCTATTACTGTTGACACACTCTGCTGGTTTAATTAGATATACATGTATTTAGACCTGATTTAAAGTCCTTAAAAAGAAGGAAAGTAATGATGAGAAAATATGAAGCAGCTGGTAAACTCCTCATGTCTCAGCTGGGCAGTTCCAGCGTTGGGTGTGCAGGTTTTGGATGCAGAATGATGGGAATGGGTTTTTCATTTTACATCCCAGTCCAAAACAGAGTTGCCTGGTAGATATGAATTGGAAAGATACATTAAAAATAAAATAAAACTCTCGTGTTTTGACTTAATCTGACAAAAGCAGAGCGATTCAAAGACTTGCCCCCACTACTCTCTCCCCTCATTGTGAACATTCATTTCACAGTGCAGAGAGGATTGTGCTCTGTTCTGAGAGTCTTCAATGGCTTAATAGAATAGGCTGAGGTAATAAAGACAGGGTGACAATTTAAATTCACAAGTGCCTTTTTACTGGTTCGTTAAAACTACAGCATTTCTAACAACTTATTGTACAGTTTGATATATATTTAACCCTTCCATAGTACTTATGGGCCACAGCTGTCAAAGATCTTTAGAAAGAACAATCAGTGATATTGGGTTACGTTTTTGAAAGGTGCTGAGATGAATTAAGAGCCCCAGTAGCATTAAGATGTGGATTCCTAAGTCACCAGGTGCTTTTGAGAGATGCAGCCTTTTTATTTACATAAAAGCCCAGGAACTAGTGAGGTGACTTGCAGAAGGTTAAGGAAGAGAAACGGAACCACATCCCTGTTGTGTTGACTCTGAGCCCAGCTATTCCAGCAAGATGCTAACAATGCCTGTCTGCTGGTAAATGAAATCGTGTCAGGCATGGCTCTAACTTTGTTTTAGGCAGCTGGGCTCTCTGTTTGTAGAACAGTCATGGAAAAGAAAATCAAATTTCTTCCATTAGAGCCTGGTGTACGAGATCCTGAGCACTTCATCTGTTCTCGGAAGTCAGTGGCAGTTCTGTCCTACCCCCTTTTCATATTGGCAACTGAAGGGTTGGTGTAAGACTAGTTAGAGCTGATGGTCACCTTGAATCAGGCCTGACAATAACTAGGACTGTTAAAGCAGTAGAAACTAAAGATTTGCCAAGTTAACTCTGACAGCTACAAAACATTCTGCCCATAATACACATATTACTGAATATGCATAGCAGAGGATATGGTGGAAAGAACTAAGATTAATTAGATTCTGCTGAGCCAAATGGCATTTGACACCCATTATACAATATCTGCATATGTTATTAAAACTATGAGTAAGTAAATGCCATTTCTCATTTCCACTTGCAGCATGGTCCATTTTAAGGCACAATAATTATATAGATGTGACATCTGTGGGTTTTTTCAAAATGTCAAGGGATGCATATTTTTATTTACTTGTGTTTTTAATCGCTACTTGTCCACCCTGTTTGTTACATGCCCTTGTGATTGAAGGAGGAGTGTTAAGCGAGGTTTGCATGCAAATTTTGTATTACACAAAACTATCGAGTTGGTTTTTCTTTCCCATTATCTTTGTGTTTGTCTGACAAATCTGTCAGTTCATAACAGGCACTGAATTTTGATGGAATTCTTCTGGCCTGAGAGAGAACTTAGATTTTTTCTCAGGGAATAGTGGATCTCTGCTGTGCTCAATCACTTGGAGCAGAAGCAAATAACACTCTTTAAGAATTACCCTCTCTTCTTCTGCCCAGCTTAAAATCCACAATTCTCTGGGTTTAATGCATGATGCTTACAGAACCTCCCAAAATGGCAAAGCACATTCAGTCCCTGATTTAACCTGAGATTTCCTAGGAATAAATTTACTCTTCTGCTTCGAGTTCTATTTACCTCCATGTGCACAAAAGCCACGTGATTTGTACTGTGCTTGCCAGGTGTGAAGGTGAAACACCGAATTTAAGGCATCCCCTGAGGGAATTCTGCTTTCTCTTCGTCACCACTGAGGGAGCTCCATGTCAAAGCCTGGAGGATCCAGGGATTCCATTTGAAAGTTTCAGGGTTTGCCTCTGCAGATCAGAAGAAATTAGACATGTCTGAGCAATGTGAATGAAAAAAGTGGTAAAAAAGTCAAGCAATTCCGTAGGGTTCTCCAGCTTCCACAGGGAACATCCTGAGATAAATGGGAAGGTATACACAGAAAAGGTGGATAATGATTGTTGGGAACTGTTCAGTTAGCAAAAATGGAAAAAAGCAAACCCCTAAGTATGCAACAGGCAGTGTGCTGGATCCCTGTGGCCGAGGGAAGAGCTGTGATCCTACTGGGAGCTCTTCAAATTATCAAAAGGGAGGCACTGATGAGGATGAACACACGGTTTAATGTCACTGCAAGATGCTCCACGGGGTATTTACAGAGGACACAGGAGGAGAGGGATGTGTGGATGTCTTTGAGAAGTTTTGCAGGAGGCCGAGTGAGTCCCAGAAAAAAGGGATGCACACTTGACACAGCCTTTATCTGTGCCATGGAGAGCTGCCAGTCCGGGCATTTGGCTGGATAATGCTCAACATGAGCTCGATGCCACAATGTTACACTTGACAGCAAAAATGGTGAAAAGCAAGAGCACATTTAGCACAAAATTAGGATGTTGGGAACAAAAGGCTGATATATTAGAGGACTGAAAAATCCTGGTGTTTTAGGAGGAGATGATTCTAGCTGCATTATATTTGTAATATGCAAACAGAATAAAGTCCAAATCTGTCATGGAATGTATAGCACTGCTTCTGAAATAAGTAATTTCATAAAGCTTAAAATAATTATGAGTCACATTGATTTAGAGAAAGAATTAAGACTAAAAATTTGAATAATTGGAGACTGTGTAAGAACACTTTGCTAGATGCTGTGCAGAAATATTTCCACAGATGAGAAATTCTCTTATAATGGTAAAATATTTTCCTATAGCTGCAATAATTGTGGCAGATGCTAAACAGCAGGCAATAAAACTGTCATATTTAAATTGGCAGATCAGGTTTGGCTGCATCTTCAACTCCTGAAGGGTTGCCCAAGAAACCCTGGGCCATTACTGTTGGTTTTCAGTAAGCCTTAGAATACCAGGAGAGGTTTAGAGAAACAAAAGCAAACTGATTTCATGTCAGTGTTCAGTAAGTTTAGAGGGACAGCAGAATGAGGCATTTTACAGTATTTTATTAAGAAATTGTATGATTAATAACTTCAGCAATAGCAAATATGATCACCGAGCAAAGTTTTATGGAAAGTAGATCTCAAATCAAATTATCAAATGAATGTGATAATTTTTTTTACAGTGTTTAACATATTTGACTGATAAAGTTACCCCTACCCTCTGCAAGTCATTAAAAGGACTTACCAAGGACTTTGGTTCATTTTCCACCACTCAAAAGAAGGCGGTTTTAGATTTGGGGTGGGGTTTTTTGGGGTTTTTTTTTGTTTGTGTGTCTGTTCATTGGTTTGTTTTTGTTTTATTTTGTTTCGTTTCATTTTGTTTCATTTTGTTTTGTTTCAGAAGGCTTGGTGTAGTCAAAAAGCTGCATAAACAACCTAAAACCAAACAGAAAGCCCTAAGGGAACCCCTGCAGGCTGCATTCTATTTTTAACAAAATAAACAGACAGACTAGTTTCTTTTAGCTTTCTTATCCGTGAAAGTATGGTAAAATTCTGTACTTGTGAATAAAAATAGTGACCCTGTGGTCTTGTCTTCCTTCAGTCAACATAGTGCTGAACTTGAGGCTGTGTCACACCAGGATGGTCATACAGTCCTTGTGCAGAACAGATGGGTGAGGACACATGAGGTTTAAGTAAATCATCAGATTTTGGCTTCATTGGAATTCCCTGCCTGTGCTGTGTGAGCTGCTGCAATAGCTGAACTAACTGGCTCTTTTGTTCAGTCCTTCCCTGTCCTGTAATGTTCATGCAGTTCACTAAAGATCAAAGCTGATTTTTGGGACTGGAAATCAACACTTGCTGCATTACTTTGGGCTGTGTTGTCTGTTCTGTCGTTGCTTCGGGCTCTTCTGAGCTCTCTTTAGCTACAAATATCACCTTTGACCAGCTCAGGTTAGCAAAGAGTTCACACATGGCAAGGCTGAAGGCTGGGAGGGACTCTCAAAAGTCTGCACATGCCTATTGCCCTCTGCCCTTCCCCGGTGGAAACCTGTATGGAGTTCACTTTGTACAAAATAGAGATAACTCTCCAGAAAAGGCAGGTTGGGGAAAGGTGGAGGAAGCATTAACTTTTAAATTAATGTATTTTTCCCATAGTTTCACAGGCAGCAAGTGTTGTCAGGGCCAGCTAAGCACAGGCAAGGGAGGAGGGAAAGTCAAAGCCTACAAGGACTGAAACACTGATTTGTGTGTTAGTTGCTGCTATTACAAGACAGTGAAACAGAAAGTGAGATTGGTGTAATAATTCCTTATTGCTTGACATTATCACTTAACACGTGGTGTGATAACAGTACTGTAACTGTATAATATAAACCCCAGACCTAATGTGTAGTGCATACAGTATATCTACTGGAAAGTGGAATTTACTTCCAGGAAAACAGTTGGAGGGGTTTTTTTTAGACAAAACAGTCTAGTTCCTACTTTCACATTTATATATATATATATATATATACTTTTATTATAAATTTATATATATATTTAAAAATAAACATATATAAAACTTTTATTTTATATATATATATATATATAAAACTAGATTGAAGCCTTATCAGAGCGGTCTCACAATTTCTGTCTAGGCAATTTTTCTTAGGGATGGGCAGCATCAATTTTTCATTTGGAAAAACAGTTCAATCTCTTTCTCTTTTCTTTGGAAGCAGATGAGTTTGAGCCCTGCACGATACATCCTAGCCTTTATTCAAGGAGGTAGATCAATCCTGAAGATATAAAATACCACATTCCAAATATTAAAAAGTAGTTATATTTTCAGAAGTTTAATTATGAGTGTTTAGGAGTAGATAGGCAATCAGAGTTAAGAACCAGAATGCAGGGCAGGGTTACAATATAAATTAACTCTGTCCCCATTTTTATAATTTTTTTTCTGAATGATATTTAATAATACTTAATATGTACTTGAAACATCATTTTTATTTAAAAATTGGCTGTAGAAATAAATCTTACATTGGTTTAATCTGTAACATCTTCAAACAGATCCTGAGAAAGGTCATGACTGTAGTTTTGTAGCTCCAATACGAAACATCCTGTCTGCTATTCTTCTTCCAACTGCTCTATCAGCCTTCCCTGAAAAACCAGGAGCCCTTGGAACCTTGTTTCACAGTAATCAGTGGTTGCTACTGGCAATTTACACCGTGCTAGGAGCTGGTGAATGCTTCCCAGTGGTGCTTCCATCACACGGCAGATTCGTCTGCAACTGCCCCAGAATCAGGTTACAGCCTGTGAGCTTTGCTGCTCTGAAAATCATCATCTTGCTGGGTGTGTTGGAGCTCGATTCTTCACCTTCAGAGTAATTGCAGCAATGACTGCTTGCTTGTTTGTCTGGGAAAAATCCCTGTGACTACCAGGAAAAATCTGTGCCTCAGGTGAGCTCTGACATAACCACTGTGCCATCAGCACCTAAACACCAGCTACGGAGTGGCTACGGAATGTCCTGTGCTTGTGGATCACAGAATCATAGAATCATAGAATCATAGAATCATAGAATCAGCTGGGTTGGAAAAGACCTCTGAGATCATCAAGTCCAACCCTTGATCCAACCCCGTTGTGGTTCCCAGACCATGGCACTGATGCCACATCCAGTCTCACCTTAAACACCTTCAGGGACAGAGAATCCACCACTTCCCTGGGCAGCCCATTCCAATGCCTGATTACCTTCTCTGGAAAGAACTTCTTTCTAATATATCCAACCTGAACCTCCCCTGGCAGAGCTTAAGTCCGTGCCCTCTTGTCTTACTGATCGCTGCCTGGGAGAGGAGCCCGACTCTCACCTGGCTCCCCCCTCCTGTCAGGGAGTTGTAGAGAGTGAGGAGGTCTCCCCTGAGCCTCCTCTTCTCCAGGCTGAACAGCCCCAGCTCCCTCAGCCTCTCCTCATAGGACTTGTGCTCAAGTCCCTTCCCCAGCCTCGTTGCTCTTCTCTGGACCTGCTCCAGCCCCTCCACGTCCTTCCTGAGCTGAGGGCCCAGAAGTGGACACAGTTGGATGGAGGTGTCCATAGGACTGCACAGACCCTGCCAACTTCTTGTCTCATCCTATCTCAGTGCTCGTTCCTGCTCTCTGCCCGGTGTAACTGTGCTGTGATGCTCCAAGTGCTTGTTTGTGGTGAGTTGAAAATCACTCGGCTGATCCAAGCGGGCTCGTTCTGCTCTGCAGCTCCGGGGGTGCTCATTAGAGGCTGGGCAGCAACAGCACTAATGGCACCTTCGGGATGTCGCTGATAGGCGGCGTTTCCTCGCAGCAAGACCTTTCAGAGGAGGGAATTAGGAGCGGTACTGGGAGAATGGGTTGCCTGGTAATTAATGTAAATAGCTTGGTTAATGATTCCGCTAAACCGAAGTGGCATGTGATTGTAATGGAAATGCTACACCGGTTGGAAAACAAGATATTAATTTAGAACATAAGGACAAGAAGAAATAATGTTTGGGGATTGAGTAAAGGGCATTCAGCTTCTCAAGGCTCATTTCCTTTCTCTGTAGTACTCCATTAACCACAAGATGCTATCATGATTTTTAATGACCCCGATGTTTTTGCCTCAACAACTTTGTCTGGTAGACAATTCCAGACACCTCTGATGGTTCCCAGGATTGATAGCATGTGCCTGCTTGGGTTTCATGCTTTGATTTCACTGGAGAAACTCATTGGGAATCATCAATATAAAGGAAAAATTGTCTTCTGTTGTTCTCATCATAGTAGGAAGTGGCTGGAACCCAGACATTTACGCTGCTGCTCAACATTTAATGGCATTGTATAATTTATTTTTTTCTTCTAAGTGAGTAACACTCTAAATCAATTTGCAAAGAGTATCTCCATCCATTTTAAGAGCTTATTAGTGCTGGAGTTCTTAGTTTTTTGGATGAGGTGTTTCAGTCTGAGGGTGATTAAATCTCCCATGGCAATTCAAACCACCAGGAATGTTGTTTTCCCAAGAAATGAGAATGCCAATGGGCTGGAGATGAGTAGTGGTATGTTAATAAAGGAGCTTCTCTCTATATACTCTATACTTCTCTTTCCTAAACTGTAGCACACAGTATTTTTGTATGCTGGAAACCCACAGCCTTACTTTATGCAGATATTGGAAAAGACATCCACAGAAGTCCTGGTTTTGCACCATTATGATGGAAAAATAATGTTTTTACATTTACATATTTATGTTGCAGTACTGTCCAGAAATGCCAATCAAGTGTCATAAAACTCCTCTGAATGGAAATGTCTCTGTGTCCTTGCAAAAGTCTGTTGCTGTAGTTAATGAATTGTCTGGAAAAAATCCACCAATTGTGCATAATCACTCAAATATGTCAACTTAGAAACGTTTAGGGATGGCCAGTTACCATAAATTTCAAACCTGACCTTAATGAATCCTCTTACATCAGCTGTTGCCAGCAAGTTTTAGGTTTCCCCTTTGATAAATAGGGCTTTGACTGACCATCCCTTGTACAAACCTTTTGCACAACTTTGCTTTCTTTAGATTTGCAAGAATTCAAAAAATATTCTTTAATGTAATCTTAGGCAAGGAAGACTGTAGTAATTAATTACATTTTGTCAGGGAACACTTAGCATTGCATCTCATCCTTTGCTGGATGATTCTGCTCATGCTTAAAAATGTAGTGACCTTTACTGAACATCTGCTGCTGAAAATGTGTCCGTTCCTTGAGAGACAGAGGGAGAAAGAGAAAGGTTTGGAAGGAAAGCTCAAATTTTCAGTCTGAAGATACATAGTGGAGGGTGATTCTGGCTCCTCCAAATGTCTGGAAGCTCCTTTGTTGTTACCATGGGGTGGAAGCATTTCTAGAAACATTTCTAGAAGTTGCTAAGAAATGGAATTGCTGTTCTCTGGACTTAGCTGTGGAAAACAAGAAATGCGTGGGTTGTACTTTTTGAACCATGTGCTGTGAATATATAAAGGCTCTTTGCTTCTACTGCATTTTGCCATGTGTAGGAGCAGAGTCCTGTGAATGAAACTCAAGCATGTGCACAAGTTGGAGTTTAATGTTTTGTGCCAGGACAGCTCTTGTGGTTTGCTCCACGCTTGAATGGTTCATTCCCCCTCTTAGTTGGGGTATGTGTGCACCCCAGTGTGTCTCAAAAAGGACATTAATGCTGCAGGGTGCAGAGTTCAGAAAGGGACCATGTTTCACAGAATCACAGACTCATCAAGGTTGGAAGAGACCTTGAAGGTCATCTATTCAAACCATTAACCCAGCACTACCATAATCACTCCTAAACTATATTTCCAAGTGCCACATAGAGAATAATTGTTTGTACAAACCTTTTCCACACTTTGCCACGGAAAGAATAATTCTTTATGTAGAGAATAAACCCAAATGAAACGCCCAGATCACTGTTGCTGAGCAAGAAATTGTAAATTTTGTGAAGTAAACTGAAGTTGATGTTATATCAAGTGCGGGACTGTCACATAACAGATTGCT